TATCATTATCATTGTCATCATTATTATTATTATTATTATTAGATATTTACATCTACAAGGGAAGAATCCATTGTTATCGCTGCGCTTATTATTATTTGTCTCATTATTATCATCAGGTCTTTCCGCACACAGGATGGAATATCTTTTATCTCTGTATTTTTAATATAGTGTTTGTTAAGACTTTTTATACTCTGATGGAGAGACTTCCTGTTATCATTATATATATTATGGCACTTAACTCGCAGCAGGAAAGTCATATTGTTGTAGTATTATTCTTGTACTGTATTATCAATTACCTGTGTTTCCTGTAATGTGGATACAGCACACTATAGACTAAGTCTTTTAACAGTACACATGGATACAGTAACCTGACTGACACCAACTGTAACATAAACGAGTCCGACATAGTCCAGGGCCAACACTACCCGCCTGGACTATAGAAAACTGCCATTGAACGAAGAATAAACGCAGTGCTGGCAGGTAACGGAAGAGATTTAAGAACACTCAAGACTAACGTAAAAAACCTGTCACATCAACACACACCTGGGAGGCCATCACCCACACCCAGACGTTAGTGGAGGTTCTGCCGCTACTCTTTCTGCAGTAGTCCTTCGTCCACCCAACCTCTCCACACGGTCACGCTGATACCGTATTGACCTCTTGAGCCACTTACAACTTACCTGGAAGATAACACAAATAAATAATTTCTATATCTTCTATCATTGTTAGATGATTATCTTGCTCGATTCAGAGTGTGGAGTGTGGAGTCAGGGAGCAGGTGGGTGAGAGGAGAGTTAGTGTGGAGTGAGAGGGCAGGGGAGTGAGAGAGGCGTTAGTGTGGAGTAAGAGGGCAGGTGAGTGAGAGGGCAGGGGAGTGAGAGGGGAGTTGGTGTGGGGCGAGAGGGCAGGCGAGTGAGAGGGGGAATACAAAGGCAGGTACACATGGGACAGAGAGTTATAGAAAAAGCCATTCTGCTGGATAATGCGTCAAATTCAAGTACAGATGCACACATATACGAGTATACCCAAACATTCAACACAGCAACTTTAGCGGCAGTGTATGTTATGCTTGAATATTGTGATATATGGATATATTTATTAAAATCAAAACTTCATCACTGTAATGTGTCTCACAGGCTAACGCTGAAGCTGTCGTGCGCCATGAACTTCGCCATCTACCCTCACGACACCCAGGAGTGTAAACTACAGATGGAGAGCTGTAAGTACACCTACACCTGTGTGCTACCTGTGATGTTACACCACCTTGTGAATGTACTCCAACTGTAATGTAACATCACCTGTAATGTTGCGTTATGTGTGATGTTATACCATCACACATAATATTACATTACATGTTAAGTTACACCAGTTGTGACTTAACATCAACTATGATGTTACACTGACTGAAATGTTCCGCTGTAATACTGCACCAGCCCTGATAATACGCCTGTGATATAACACTTGTGATGTTTAACCTTTTGTAGGGCAGTGATGCCTCTCTGCTGAATAAAATACCTGCCCTACAAAGGCTTAAACACCAGTGGCGATACAAAAGCTGTGGTGATATGCTGATATAACACCTGTGACGATACTACAGGTGTGACAATATAACACCTGTGACGATACTACAGGTGTGACAATATAACACCTGTATGTCATAAACCACTCACCTACTCGGTAGCCAACAGTCCAACACGCATTGGTTGTTCTAAAAGGTTCGACCAACTCGCCCACTCACCAGCTTTAGCCACTACACTATCCCACTTACCCAGTCTATTTTCATCAGTGTCCCACTCACTCACCTGTTCCCTACAGTGTCCCCTTCACTCTCTCTAATACTGTACTATTAACCCACTTTGTCTCCTAACAGTGAGCCACCCACGGCGGCGCGGCGTCCTACTCACTTGTCTCGCAGTGTCCCACTCACTAAATCACTCACTATGTCTGTATAATGCTTCACTCACTCTGTTCTACGCAGTATCCCACTCACTCGCCCACTCTTTCTCTACAGTGTCCCACACCACGGAAGAGCTGGTGTTTGAGTGGGACACGGATGTTCCTCTTGCAGTAGACGAGAGCATTGAACTGCCTCAACAAGACATCATCATGAATTACACTTCAGACTGTACTCAAGTGTATTCCACGGGTGAGTACTTCATATGTGTAGTACACTTAAAACATTGCAGATTTAGTTCATACTACACAATCCAGGAATACCCTTTACATGAAGCTCATATAAACACACTCTCCTGATGCAAGACAGTTAAGACACTGTAGTACACGCCAGTCAGCCCAAGTTACGTGACATTTATGAAAAACTGTAGACATAGAAAATATGAATTTTTGGGGTACAGCCCATGTTAGACATTCGAAGTACCTGTAATACAAACGTGAAATATTGTAGGTGTAGCCCGCATGAGATAACATATACTGTACTGTACTGTACCATGGAACTAAAGCCAAAATAACACACTCTAATAGCACCTATGAGACACTGTGGGTAGCACATGTGAAACACTACACAATAAAGGTGTAGCTCATAAAAAGCACTCAAGATTAACCCAGGTGACACAAGACACTGTGACTTATGTAGCTGTATGGAGCATTGTAACTGTAGAACCTATGATGCAACAGTATATTAGTCAATACTTCCTTAGGTGAATGAAGGTTTAAATAGTAATGTGATTATATTTTATTATAACGATATATTTCATGGTTATATTTATCATTCTGAACTGACAAGATAAAAGTGAATGAAATTCTTATTATCTGATTCTACTGTTTAGTCTGCGGTGAAAGAAAAAGACTTTGGCCCTTAATTTTATTGCTATTGCGAAATAAGTAATCGCTCATCGACTGCTAATAGTGTTTTGTCTTTCTTCTACCACCTGGACACTGGCACTAACTGGACACTGGCACTTCCTGGACACTGGCACTAACTGGACACTGGCACTAATTGGACACTGGCACTACTTGGACACTGGCATCACCTGGACGCTGGCACTACCTGGGCGCTGGCACTACCTGGACGTACTTCTACTTGGCAGGCAACTTCACGTGTCTGGAGGTGGTGTTTAGGCTAAAGAGACGTCTAGGCTACTACGTCTTTCACACCTACATCCCCACCTGTCTTATTGTTATTATGTCTGTAAGTACCTGTGAGAGAGAGAGAGGCGAGAGGCAGAGAGAGCGAGAGAGAGAGAGAGAGAGAGATATATATATATATATATATATATATATATATATATATATATATATATATATATATATATATATATATATATATATATATATATATATATATATATCATTTGTCTGCAATGCTTAAATCATTTGTTTCACTATCTGGAAGTTAAAGTACAGTACATGCAACAGTTACTACCACTTAACACGTATAATTTTGACAGTGTTCAACAATAAACTGAGAGACTCTCAAACACTGCATCTACAGTATATTGTTGTGAACAGTTAGCACCCGGAAAAAAATAAATCAATGGTGGATCTCGCGCATAACATTCCTTATTAAAGACCTCGGCTCCACTCCCTCTAAGAGCAAAACATTCCTCTGGCTATAATGTCAAACTAGACAACAAGTTCTATTGGCCATGGTCAGCCGAACCTCCCTGTAGATTGCTTAAATACTATAAGTTTACTGAACACCAATCTGGAGTCCACAGCTCAGTTACAATCAATGCCAGTAAAGCCACACTCTTCCTATCTCTCACAAGCAAGATTTCTTTACCTTTGAGCAATACAGGTGAACTATGATATTATACAGAACGAAAGTCACGCTCACCTTTATATAGTATCGCAATTGCTCATTATAATTGTTAAGAAACTAGTGTTAATAGGTTGTATTCCTCCTGGACAGTGGGTATCCTTTTGGATCAAGCCAGAAATCGCGCCAGCACGAGTGACGCTGGGAGTGACATCACTACTGACACTCTTCACTCAACAAGCGAAATCGCAGGCCTCCTTACCGCCTGTGTCCTACATCAAGACCATCGATATTTTCATGTCCTCCTGCACAGTGTAAGTTCACGTGTGTTGTTCCTATAGTCTATTTCCGTATTCACTTTATAATGTTGTTTACCGATTCTTGATCACCTTTGCTACATAATTCACTGGTAATATAAAGTTCAGATTGATCAGGTATTTATAGCACTTTACACTATGCCCACCCCTACATTTAATGCTTTTAGTGACACACTCTACTCTCGGCAGCTTTGTGTTCATGGCGTTAATCGAGTACGCGGTAGTGAACATCATCCTGGGTGACGGATCAGGCGAGGCAGCCAAGGGGCCAGCTAAACCGGAGCCCAAACCCAGTAAAGCCACCGAACTGGCCATCAAGGTGAGCATCTAACCTAACCTAACCAAACCCAGTAAACCCACCGACCTGGCCATCAAGGTGGGCACGAGCACCAAACTAAACCTAACCTAACCTAACTTAATATAACCTCACCTAAACGAATATGACTTAACCTAACCAAAACTAGCATAAATTAACCTAACGTTGGGAAATTGATGAAACTATGAACAGAAATGTCCACACAAACTCGTTCTCTCGCCTATATCACAAACATTGAATTAAAAATTTTCTTAATTTAAAAAAGTATTTCACCATGAAATTATGAAATCTGGAATATTCCCACCATATAACGACAAATTTTCCTTCATATAACCACAAGTATTTTCATATTACCATAAATATTCCCACAATACTATCAGGATATTTTTAGCTAATTGTTTTGAATATTTCCATACTTGACCTGGAGTCCTTCTACAGGAGAGCAGACGGTTCCTGTTGGGAGAACCGCCCAAGCCAGCTGGTCCGTCGCCAGCGCAAATCCGTCGAGGTCGGGCGCTGATGGTAGATCGCGTCTCACGGTACCTCTTCCCCCTCTCCTTCGCCCTCCTCAACGCCGTCTACTGGTTCAGTTTCAGGCAGTACCTCTAGGACCTTCATCTCCTGACGGGGCTTTGGTGTCCCTGGGAAGTCCAAGACTACGAACTGGCGATATGATAAGTCCAGCAACGCCTCGACCCCAACTTATATGATTCGTTGAGTCTTATCTATTTATCAGCTGAAAACTATCAGTGGTTTCCTTTAACCATCAACGACTAGTGAGTTCCTTAGACTACTCCTCAAGAGCCACAACTTCAGGAAGAAACTCCTTTCACGTGAGACTCCCATTAAGGCCAGGTTTAATTATGGGCACAGTAATAAACAAAGTGTATTCTTGTTGTTAAAATAGACCCAACATTAACTTTTAATTGTATGTAGTTATTAATATTGTTTATGATATTTTACGGTAGACTTACTAATTCTCTCACCAACTGGTGACACACTACACCTGACCAACACTGTAACTGTACTATACAATATGATGACATAATGGTAGATACTTAGTAATTAATATGGTATATTGGTTTACGAATATACTGTACAGTATATAATCTGGATCACAAGCACATGACAGGCACTGGTAGACTGGCAAATTGAGGTTACAAGCAAGCAGACAAATAATAATATGAAGTAGAGGAAGTAGTTGCAGTAGTCATGCAGTATGTTACCACTAAATCATGGTATGTAGCATTACCAATAATAAATAATAATAAATACATAAATAATGTAATTAGAGACAATAAAACTTTAACTTAAGCTGCCAATATGCAAAATGTGTCTGTTTACTACCTTATTTCTTCTCTGAATTATTAAAAATTTATCCGACACAGGAAGAACTCCTTTATAAAAGGAAGTGGTAACGTCTCTCCTTTTCCAACTGGTAAATATTTATGGTTCTTGGCCTAAGGTAAAGAAACAACACTTCTGATATTCCACCTTTCCCACTTCGATTTCCTGCTGTACTAAGACTGGACAATAAAGTTCATAACAAAGTAACAAAGATCAGACTAACCGCTCTAATTAATGGTTAGTAAAGGGTCACAGCTCAAGGCTGAAGAAGCCACAAGTCCAGAAAACTTTGAGGGCGAACCTTTTGGAGTGAGAATTATAAACTCTCGGGATAATCTGCCACAGAGTGTTGTGACGGCACCGAATGTGAGCTCTTTCAAGACTAGACTAGACACTGGAGCAGGTACAGGTACATTCAGTAACCAGTACATGCCCAGCACTTGTCAACAGTGCGTAACAGAGTTGTGAACCATGGATTTACACATTCATATGCATTCAAACTTTTCCTGAACTTTATAACCATATTACATTAGTTACCCATAAAAAACTATGATTTTTATAAGAGAAAACGAAAGTTGTATGAGTAACTATACTACTATGAATAAACACTACGTACACAATAGCAAAGTGATCTACATCATTTGCCACATTGACCTAACTAAGAATTGTCTTTTGAATTCGTATAGAAATATCATAATGAGTTGTTGATAAAAAACATGGCATTTTCGTACTGATTGATTGACTGATTCATTAGTATTTAATTCACCATTCATCAGTTTACGAGCTGTTCAGGCAGTTGGTCCCTTGTTTTGTTACTTTGCCATGATTTTTATTGGTGTTAGTACAGGACACCTGTAAATGGTAGTGTCACTGGACATGCTTTCTCAGTCCCACCTCTGTCTGGTGTTAGGACTCGAACCCAAGACACAATGGTGAGAGATACAAACAATACCACTACTCACAGCGCCACCAACACCCATTAATATTTCTAACACGGATATACAGTATATGACTCTGTTAAATAAACTTTAGGTAATCAAAAGTAATTTATAATAATATAAAGCCATTAAAAAGTAAGTTTAATAGCATTAACAAGTCCACTGACCATGTCGTCAGTGTCAGACCCAAATATTTGTAAACAAACTCAAGTGACAGAGAAGCTCCTCGTAATAGTGTGGACAGTTATCACGTTACTAGTGATTGGAAAATAGCTTAAGTTGGTATGTATGTTTATTATAAAACCAGTAACTCATTTTATAAAGCAGTGAGTTCTTTTATGGGTATTTTGGCCTCTTATGTGTTGCCCCAGATGCTGTTGGCGTGTTGGTCATCATTATTGTTAATTTATCTTCTAGAAATAAACGAAGACTACCCCCCCCCCCTCACACAGATTAGGTTAGGTTAGGGTGTTTAACCACGTGAGATAAGCTGTGTGTGTGTGTGTGTGTGTGTGTGTGTGTGTGTGTGTGTGTGTGTGTGTGTGTGTGTGTGTGAAATCACGAAAGGTAATGTAATCGTCGGCAACCATGGCATAGTTGGGGCAATAAATAATTCGAGGAATCTCCCTTTGACCTCCAGCGAAGCAACGTAAACACACACACACACACACACACACACACACACACACACTGTTGAGCCATAAAAACACTGAACTAGTTTTCGAGGAATGTATCTTCGTCTTCTGGATCTTAGGAGAGGGAATGCGTGAGAGACAGAGTAGATTCAAGGAGACTAAACTAATTATATAAAGCTCCTGGATCATTTATAAAACTTTAAGACACCAGAGACGACCCTACAGGATATTATATAAAGCTCTTGGATCATGTATAAGGCTTTAAGACACCAGAGACGACCTTACATGATCTTATATAAAGCTCCTGGATCATGTGTAAAGCTTCAAGACACTACAGACGACCCTACATGATATTACATAAAGCTCTAGGTGACAAAATAATCTTATCTAAAATAGGAGTTCCATAAAGACCTTTTGATTTATGTTATCATTTAAGAGTATTTATCGTGAACAATAAACTATGCAAAGTGAGAGAGTTTAGGAACTGAGAGCCATAGATAACAGAAATAAAAAGCATTAGATATAGGACGGCGGGGACAACTGGTACGTGCAATAACCTGACGATGAGTAGCCGCCAGGGGTGTGAGGCAATCTGGCCTTGTTCCGGACGAGGAGCCATTCACTGGGTTTTTATTACCATGGTATTTTGATTACGGAAAATTTTACTATTCACCAGACTCTAAGGGGAGGAAAATGTCTTTTATCTTTGTAAGTAACGAAGTAAAGTAATTCCTTGGAACATATCGAAGAGTTTTGTGAAAATGGAAGTATTTTATCCGGAATATCTTAATTTTATACAGAAATACGATGCGAGTGATTGGAGGCTAACTTTGTCAATATGTCTGCTTGTCACGGTGTTTGTAAGTGTATGTAAATCTTATTATTAATTTCAATAGTAAACAGAAATGACGCGGTGTTCGTTCTACACGGTACCTGGATAGCAACATAATATTCTTGAAGACAATTTCCCAAATCCTAGAGTGTTGTCAGGTGCATATGTTCTACCGAGCTATATTAAGCCACCATAAAAAGCTTAACTACAGTTTTATGAGCCGACGTGACGCAGGGAAGTATTGTTGACAGCGAATCTAGGGAAACACTCAAGGACACAATCACTTGAGTTGAAATAAAAGCAAACTTTGTCACTGACCAAAACACTCTTTCATAAGGGCGAACTTGGCAAAAAATAAATTTTTGAATGAAACACAAACACAGGACGATCAACCCGCCCTCCTGCTACTGTTTCACCATATCTTATGTTTATTGCAGCACACAAAGAAATAAGCCGACACGAATTTGTAAAAAAAAATGAAGCCTTTGCCTTACCTTCTCCCGCGTCACTCTATACTACACCTCAATTGGGTATTCCGTGAGTTGCCATTGGCGGAAAAATTGTGTACATTTGATAGAAACGACTGGCAGCGTTTTAACACACATGGTAAAAATTATAAGTTGTGTCAGGATCGCTGGCAGAAGGTATTTGTCGATCCCTGAGTCCGCGTTAATAGCCATCACAGGCTGGATTGGGATGAATATTGCAGGGCAGTGTGAAAAGTCTGCTTCATCGAGGTGTCACTCAAAATAATCCATTCAATTAAAAAGTTAATGTAAAAATGGTGTTCATGGTAGCTACGCGCGCGCGCGCGCGCGCGTGTGTGTGTGTGTGTGTGTGTGTGTGTGTGTGTGTGTGTGTGTGTGTGTGTGTGTGTGTGTGTGTGTGTGTGTGCTTAGAGATAAAGGCAGCAGTTAGTACTAAAGCATAAGTAATTAAACATCATCCTAGCCAATGCTAAACCTCACCACGAATCGTTAACAAGACAGGATGAATTTTGTCACGATTTGCACCAAAATTTTATCACGTGGACCTTGTAAATCGTTGATCAAACCTCTCAAGTTTGGTGTAAGTCCGCAAACCCATTCTTGAGTTACTTAGGACACACACACACACACACACACACACACACACACACACAGACAGAGGACCAGTAGTGTGGGTAAACATTACATGAATGAGTACAGTATTAAGAGAGAGAGAGAGAGAGAGAGAGAGAGAGAGAGAGAGAGAGAGAGAGAGAGAGAGTAACAAATATCCCGGTTGACAGGTGTGTGTGTGTGTGTCTGTGTAAGAAACGCCACATCTATAAGCATCTGTCCCTGACTCGATGGCGAGGAAAGAGTGATATGAGAGGGTAAAGAGTAATGGCCAATGCTCAGTAACTTTAAAAGACATTAGAAACATATGGCAGTGTGTAAGAACAAAATTTATTATTGGACATTAAATGAAAATGAGCAAAAAGGAATATATAAGAGGGGAGTAACTTTGTTAATATACGTGTGTTGTGTCAGTCTCGATTATGGCTGGTTTATGTATATTATGAACGTGTTTAATGTACTGTCTGTCTGTCTGTCTGTCTGTCTGTCTGTCTGTCTGTATTCATATTTCCTTAAACTTGTGACGGAAGACCAAAAGATGTATACATTTATCGAGTCAATCAGGAGGATAAACACCATTCTTGTCAAGTCTGGCAAATGGTAATGCAAGTTGTAAACGGGGGGTGATAGAGATGCTGTTTGTAGATAATGGAAGGATGGAATGAAGGAAGTAGAGCCGTAGAAGGGGGGAGGGGGAGATCGCGGCGCCGAGTGGGGGTGTGACAGCATTTAGAGTGAATGGATGACAGTGAGTGAAAGGAGTGGTTGTTTTTACTCCTGATTCTCGTCAACCCTGAACTATAGCATAAAAAAGTTTGTAAGAATTAAAACATATCATTACAATTATTATCAATATTATCAAAGTGTTATTACGGTAACTTCTACATCAACTATTACTCATTTTCTCATTATGTGTCAGCACTTAACTCATGTTTAAGTGGTATACCTTCACAGTGTCTTGAGATCCCAGACCGGAACACAAATCAGCGCAACTCTTTCTCGGCGAGCCTTCACGTGGCCACCGAGTAATGCTGAGGTAATAAACGAAATTAACGATGGGCGGCGGGGACGGGGAGTGTGGGCGGCGGGAACGACAGAGGACCGGGGTTCAGGTCAATTGTCATTCATCACGGAGAGGAACCCACCATGACGTTGATAAATGAATGTTTTCGGAATCGTCGTCAGTAGGGAGAGGAGTATTCATTGTAACAGCTCTGAAGACGCACATTTTGCCAACACTCTTCATGAATGTTCAGTTTGTACTCACCCCTGAAGATGTGAATTACACGAAAACGCTTGGGAACTTCGTGTTTTCTTCTTTCCTTGTGGTTATCAGCATATACCTAGATCACGCGCAACTACAGTGATTTACTTGCATATACTGTATACGTGTGTGTGTGTGTGTGTGTGTGTGTGTGTGTGTGTGTGTGTGTGTGTGTGTGTGTGTGTTGGCAAAATGTACATCTAAAAGTC